ATATATATATATATATATATATATATATATATATATATATATATATATATTTACATTTATATTTTGAGCTTTATATTAAGACATAACGTCCAAAAACAAAGTGGTATGTCGCTTTTGGTGCTTTTACTCTAAACGATTATAACCATAATTGTAAACGGGAAAAAAAATAAAAAATATATAGAATAGGAATACAAAATAGCGAAAACCTCGTTAGACACTCCTTTTTTTTTCCATGGGGGAAGGGATGTTATAATCAAAATGATTACTATCTAAACTTTTATAACACTGCTGAAAACGTTTTCAACGACGTTCCGACAACGTAATCTTGAAAAGACGGAAGTGCAAGCGCTACAGAAAAGCACCGCCTTATACATTCCACCGTCCAAACTTTGGACGATCACCGCTGTCGTCAAGCCATCCCTCCTAATCAGAATTCGGGGTAGTATAAAAGAACAGAGCCGACCGCACGGCCAGAGAGGCTTTTTCTCGTACTTAGTCGCGGACTGTACATACGTCGGTTATAAAAACTGTATCGCTTCCTAAACAAGAATCTTGTTACGTAATATGAACACTTCCTCGACATTATACAGAAGATAAGATCAAATAAATTCCATTATTTTACTTTTCTTTATTTAATCTCGCAATCATCAATCCCTTGGCCCTCGTCGAATCCCGGTGGCAGAATGACCCCCTATAAATTCTTTGTATTCACGTCACTACAGGCATGACATAACTCAAAATCGAATTATCGTAAACACCCTATATTAATATATATTATATATATATTATATTATAATATATTAATATATTATATACAATTATATAATTATATATAATAATAACAATTAACAAATAATAATGTAATAACAATTATATAAATGTGTTTATTATGTAAGGTTATTATTATATACTAACACTAATTTTGTACTAATAACACTTACTACAGATTTTCCCGATTATAATTTTCTCATTATACAAATGTAATCATAAAAACCAAACTTTTTATTCAGTATATACATGATGTAACTATACATCTTATACTGATGTGTATCGTAAGATTAAACAATATAATGCACTTATACGATATAATTTCGATGCTCCATTTGCTTGCCTTCCAGGGTCCATGCTGCACTGCCGCATGTAATCTTCGTTTCGGAGATAAATGCAGAGATGATAACGGTTGCCGCGATGCGAGTTTCTGCGATGGCCGTTCTCCGTATTGTCCGCCATCTATTAATAAGCCCAACAAGACCATATGTAACCGCGAATTGGTTTGTTTCATGGGGGTAGATATCAGTAGTTAGAAATATAGACGTACTCTAGATAAGCGAATCGATTCGTCTCATATGCATGTGAATGGTATATTGTTTTACAGGAGTGCACTGGTAGCATTTGCCTGGCATATGGATTGGAATCCTGCCAATGCATACCTAGTTCGAATGACCCGCCAACGAAAGCTTGTGAGCTCTGTTGCCGACAACCTGGCGAAAATCAACCGTGTCTGTACGTTATTTAACCAATAGCTATATGTATAAATGAATAATTCAAACAAATTTTTAAGCAGTTAAAAAATAATTTTAAAATTTACTAATTTTCTTGCCTTTTTGCGATTATGCAGTATAGACATATAACTATATAAAATAATATTTAGTTTGGCAGGAAGTCTAACATAACCTTAAAAAATATCATTAGCGTCAAAAATAGTAACAAATAAAATGTATGCACTGTATTATCTACCCAGACAGCACAATGTCCAAAACTGGGACATAAGATATCTTTAAGATATTTTTAAGACGATTCAAAAACATCTTATGTCTTGACGTCTTAAAGATGTCTTAAAGATGTTTTATGTCCCAGTGTTTTGGACATATGTGCTGTCTGAGTACGTATTCCAACAAAGAAAGGCTATAAAAGTGTGTGAATTGATTAGTTTATTCTTCAGCAAAGATATATCGTACGATGCATATTTTGGATTAATAGAGTTAAAAGCGCTGATTTCAGTCCGATCGAGAAACAGTGCCCTGAAGGCTTTCGGAAGTATAACAATTTGGAGCAACGCTGCTCGCTAAGGATTTGGTACAAACTTAAAAAGAGCTTGTAGAGCAGTTGAAAATTACGCAACAAAATATTTTCAAATCCTTACACAAGATAAGAAAGATCCAAAAAGAAAGAAAATGAGTTCCTCATGAACTCATTAAAGCTAAAAATCAGCAAGTGGCAACATATTTTTCTTTTCTCAATAAGTAACGTAATAAGTGACGAAAGCCTTTCCTGTTCCTATGGAAAATCATTATGGGCAGAAAATTATCATGGACGATGAAAAATATATACTCTATGCTAATCCGAAATACAAAAATTCACAAGTAAATCGTGACAAACCATCAACATCGATCACAAAAAAATACTTTAAAAAAATATTCTGCATTTACAAGGAACCTGACAGAACTGTCCCTCACTGATTTTGATGCGCTTTGGATATGCGCTTTGTAGAGCATAAAAAAATAAGGGACCTATATTTTTTTATCTCGAGGAGTTATAACCCTCGAGTGAAAAAAAATTAACTTTTTAATTTTTATGGAATAATTCCTAAGATATGAGGTACATGAAAAAATGTTTTCTACAAAAGTTTTACAATATTTAATACTCTTTGCAACGACGTATCTTATTTTTTTTAATATCAAAATTTTTATTCCCCCTCTCCACTTGTTACCATCGCAAAATTTTTAAGTTTTTGTAAGGAAAAAAATTGTAGAGTATTTAATACCAAATCCATCCATGTATAATAGTAAAAGTTAGTCTTACTTTAATCGTTGGGAAACGATGTGATAACATCGTGCTATAGGCGCTACACTGTGCATGTAGATGGATACTATAGATAGAAATGTTATATAGGGGAATATATACTATAGATAGGGGAATATAATAAATTGTAGAAAAATATAACATATAGACAATTGCATATATTTAATATATAATGTTTACAATATATAATGCGTGTATGTTATTATATTATATTAATCATTAATTAATATGATATCCCTGACGGAAAAAAATCTACAAACGACTACGTGATTTTACTACTAATTCACGCATTTCTACAGCAAAATAGAAAATATTACAAAATACTATGTAAAACTGTAAATGTCGTAATAATATGTAGTTCCTTGTAAAAAAATCTACAATTTTTGAGAATATACAATGAACTTCTGCAACCAAGACGTAGTTAATCGCATATTTTCATTAAAATTATAATTTACAAATGTTACAATAAAACGTAGTTTTGCGCAAAAAATTCCTACAACTGTTGAGAATATGCAACGAATTTATACAAGCAAGACGTATTTAATCATACATTGACGCTAAAATTATAACTTTACAATCAATTATAACCTTTTATTCAATACATTAACTATCTAAGTTAATGTGTTGAATAATTTCTATTATTTATTTAATGATTATTTCCATTATTATTGGGAGTACAAATAAGTCTCCGCCGTTTTTTTATAAAAAATTGGGCATTTATTGTAAAAGAATTGTACCTTATGTTTTATTCAAAGTATTGTCCATCGCTAGCCACTACTTTTTCCCATCTTTCTGGCAGCATACGGATACCGCGTCGGAAGAACGCTTCATCTTTTGAGGCTACCCACGAATCGACCCAATTTTTGGTATCTTCATATGATGTGAAGTGCTGCTCAGACAGGCCGTGCGTCATCGATTGAAACAAGTGATAGTCAGAGGAAGCAATGTCTGGTGAATACGGCGGGTGGAGTAAAACTTCTCAATTGAGTATTTCCAAGTAGGTTTTGACCAGCGCCACAACATGTGGACGAGCATTATCATGCAGGAGAATAATTTTGTCGTATCTGGAGTAGTAGTGGGCGCGTTTTTCCTTGAGTGCTCGGCTCAATCTCATCAATTGTGTTTGGTAGAGAGCCCCAGTAATGGTTTCGTTCGGTTTGAGAAACTCAATACACGACACTAAACTGATCCCACCAAATACACAACATGAGTTTTTTCCATGAATATTCGGCTTGGCTGTCGATGTTGAAGCATGGCCACGTGGTCCCCATGATTTCCTCTTCTTTGGGTTATCGTATTGGATTCATTTTTCATCACCAGTGACTATACAATGCAAAAAACCCTTTCGTTTATGCCTAGCAAGCAGCATTTCACATGTGCAAAATCGGCGTTCAACGGCGTTTCTCGGCTTCAGTTCATATGGAACCCAATTTCCTTGCTTTTGAATCATTCCCAACGATTTTAAACGATGTGAAATTGCTTGTTGAGTCACTCCTAATGTAAGTGCAAGTTCTTCTTGCGTTTGGCACGAATCTTCCTCCAATAATACTTCCAATTTCGCATCTTCGTACACTTTCGGCCTTCCGCTACGTTCTTTGTCTTTGACGTCAAACTCACCGTTCTTAAACTTTTAAAACCACTCACGACAACTTCTCTCGCTTAAAGCAGCCTCACCATATGCTTCTACAAGCAATGGATGCGCCTCAGCTGCAGATTTCTTTAAATTAAAGAAGTAAATCAAAAGTTCTAGCAAATGACGCTTATTCGGCTCAAAATTCGACAATTTCGCACGAAAAAAATTATGTGATGCTGATACAAAATCGCTAATATTTCAAGGTTATGGTGTTGCCAGATGTCCAACGTTACGATATGACGTTTTACATCTGACAATTTCAACCATAACTTACTGGTGGGGCCATCTTTTGTCAAACGGCGGAGACTAATTTGTACTCCCAATAATATAAGTTTATTTAAGTTTATTATAGAAGTTAATATTAAAGTCCGATCAATTGAAATTACAACTTTAATGTTGAACTACAGCAATCAATATTATTTTAAAAATACTAAATGTGAGCAATGTAATTCGTTACTATTTCTTTTAAAAACTTACAACTTATTATATATTATCAAAACTTTACAACTTATTATATATTATCAGAAATTTTGAAAACTTAAAAATTGTCATGTAGAAATAGTTTGTCATAATAATTAGAATTATTAAAAAATGGAATAAAATTACAGCTTTCTACAATGATTTTGTCATAGCCAAAATCTGTTAAAAGATTGCAATTGTTTATGATGTATTACAACAAACATTATACATACATGTATAATTTAATACGTACAACATTATACGTATAATAGATAATTCGTTGTAGAGGAAAGTAGCCAAAAGCGACATAGGCCTCCTAAAGCGACATACCTCTATATCTCATATATTAAATGTTGTATTTTATCGAAACTATAATAATATAAACGTAATTCGTTTTATCAGTAAACTCAGGAAAAATTCATATGTGATATATTTTTTGTTCTTTTATATGCTAAATTAGCAAATATCGAGTTTTAGAAATTCACAAATTTATCTTATTTTTATGATTTTTATTGACGAATTACGTAAACCAAACAGGGATAATAATCTTTTTATTTAATATTAAATTCTTCTACATTTATTTTTCTTATGCATTTGGCTTTTGTACAAATATTGTACAAATATTTTTTTAATATTTTTATCTTCATTACTTTTTTACTTCATTATTTTTTTACTGTATAACTTAAAAAATTTTATGAGAATGTGTTTTAAAATGACATACTCCCTACAGTATGCGATAGGTGCGATACTCTGTGACTAATATAACTTGATTCTAACCTCCCATTGTGACATGAAATTTGTTTATTTTAAAGTTTAATTCTGTTTAGTTTAAAAATATAACATATGTAAAATATGTGAGAAATGAAAAGGATGGAAATACCAAAGATATCTTTTTATTTAATTATATTTCCCTTTTGTAACATTATATTTTGAATAAATGAATATTATTCATTATTAAACGCATTAATGAACTATTTTTTATTATCAAATATTATCATATATGCAACATATTATATAACTTCCAATAAATATGTCACGCTTTTGGTACCCATTTTCTTAGAACTCCATTTTCGTACGTTTTACAAAAACATTTTTTGTTTTAAATGTAGAAATAATTTCAGTAAAAATATGATATTATCTGATAGGAGCTACTTCCAACTACATGTATATATATATATATATATATATATATATATATATATATATATATTTACATTTATACTTTGAGCTTTATATTAAGATATAACCTCCAAAAACAAAGTGGTATGTCGCTTTTAGTGCCTTTACTTTAATACATCGTAAACAGTTCTAATCTTTTAACAATTTTTGGCTAAAAATCATTGTAAAAAGCTGTAATTTGTTTTTCCATTTTTGGATAATACTAATTATTATAACAAACTATTTCTATATGCACAGAGAACATTAAGACGTCTTAAAGACGTCTAAAAAATTTATGGATGTCCTATTAATTTAACAAACAGACGTTTTAAATACGACTTTAAGGCGTCTAATGTCCCAATTTTGGATGTCTTATAGAACGCCATATTGGACATCCGAAAGATGTCATATAAGACATCCAAAAAACATTCAACAGACATTTTTTCCCGGA